CATAGTCTAAATAGCACAAAAGAAGTAGAATCATCAAAAAATTTAAATGTTAGACTATAACCAACAAAATATTATAGATACATTTAAAAACATTAGTATATTATAATAAATGACATCATGACATGATCCACTTACAAGATTTACAGCAATATCTGAGTATAGTTTCCAAGTAAATATTTTTCTTTCCACTCAAAGAAAAATGGATTTTAGAATTTTAATTCAATTCAACAAATATTTAGTGCATATCTACTCCATACCATACTCTGTGGCTATAAAAATAAGTAAGGTAAGATTCTTGTCCTTCCCTTCTCAATGAGTCCACTGGGACTGAGAAACTGAATAGCCAGGAATGGTATACATAATACCCATACAGTCAGCTCTAAAACAATATGGGAATTACTATATTAGAAATAATAGTTTGAACAAAGAGTTATGTAAATGTAGGAGTAATATTCTGCCTTGATCTATCTCCTGAACCCCAAATTAATATATCCAACTGCATACTTGACTTATCTACTTGGATTTCTAATTGGCATCTACAACTTAACATGTCTAAAATCAAGTTGCTGAACAACCTAACATATCTGATCCTCTGATATCATAACCATCTTAGAGAATGGTTACACCATTTTCCTAATTGCTCAGGTGAAAACCTTAAGTAACCTTTAATTCCTTTTTCTCACACTTCACATCAAATCCATTGGCAAATACTATCAGCTCCATGGGATACTTTCAAAATAAACCCAAAATCTGATCAATTCTCAACACTACTACTATCACTCTATTATAAGCTATTGCTGTTACCACTTCTCAGATGAGCCACAGCTTCCTAAAAGGGCTCTCTGCTTCTGCCCTTGACCCAATTTGTTTTGTTAAAATGCAAGGTCAGTTCATAGCACTTCTCAAAACCAGTAATGGCTTCACATTTCACTCTGAATATAGGCTAAAGTCCTAAACAAAGACCTAAAAGACAAAACACGATCTGCTCCCCACCACTACTCATCTGACTTCATCTCCTACTAACTCTCTTTTTCACACACTTTTGACCAAGCAACAAAAAATTTGGAAAAAAGCCAAGAGTGGTAGAAAGGTGACAGCAGTTTATTCTGTAATATTATTTCAATAATGAATACCACCTATAAGGAGCAAGGCATTTTATTTGAATACTTGGCTCAGCAGTATTTACCACAGACTGTCAAAAATTAAGATAGGTATTTAACTCTTTAAATATATATGTAATAAATCTTCCCAGAAAACTACACAAAGACAAAAATTGTGCACATCATTTCAAGACTATCCTGGGCCCCCTAAAAACCCATTCATGAAGATTCATGAAAGCAGGCCGGGCGTGGTGGCTCAGGCCTGTAATCCTAGCACTCTGAGAGGCCGAAGCAGGCGGATTGCTCGAGGTCAGGAGTTCGAAATCAGCCTGAGCAAGAGCGAGACCCTGTCTCTACTATAAATAGAAACAAATTAATTGGCCAACTAACATATATAGAAAAAGTTAGCTGGGCATGGTGGCGCATGCCTGTAGCCCAGCTACTCGGGAGGCTGAGGCAGAAGGATTGCTTGAGCCCAGGAGCCTGAGGTTGCTGTGAGCTAGGCTGATGCCATGGCACTCACTCTAGCCTGGACAACAAAGCAGACTCTGTCTCAAAAAAAAAAAAGATTCATGAAAGCAAACACAGAATGGCTAGCTAAAACAAAAGATGACGAACATCAAGGTGTGAAAATTGTTATACTTTTGAACAGCATCTTTTGGTTTCTTTTGTTTTCTCTTGGATTACCCATCCTCACAATCAGAGACCTGTCTAAATTTAAACTGAACTATAATTTCAGAGTCTTGTTAAAGTTCAAAGCTTTTCATATAACTTGTTTGAATCCCAGGACATATTTCCTTTTATTTCTGTTTCTAGACACCTGAATCCTTAGAAGCTGTCTCACTTCTGCCCCACCTTAATTTGAACCCCAAACCTAGCTACTTCATCAGTTTCTACCAAATATAAACAAATAAAAATCAACTCCCAAATCAATTTTACTAGAGAAAACCAAGACTCTGGTGAGGGAAGAGAAAGTCACATTACAAAATGTGATATTCTGCCATCCTGCTGGCTCCACTACCATTATCTCTTCTCTTGCTCCCTTTCTCTGGTCCAAACAACTAATTTTTCTTAGTATGACAAAAATAATTTCTTCTCCAACAATCAGGTCTCCTCAATATTTTACTTTGTGCCCCAAAGCACCTTCACAAATAAATACAGTCCCCTTCTTAAAAGGAATTCTGCGAAATAAAACTTTCTCCAACATAGAATACTTAACAATTACAGAAATTTTTAATAATACGTTTTAAAGAAGAAATTTTAGACCACTGGTAATTGTACTACCCAGACATAACTAATGTTGATATTTTGATACATGTTCTTCTAGTTTTCCCCTCTATGGTCAACAATAAATGAAAAAGGCATCACCACTCCTTCCAATTCCTATATCAAGATATCAAAACGGGGATCAGAGGTCTCAGATAGTTCTTCTTTGAAAAGTATTTTTCAAGAAGAGAGATTCCACACCAAAATGTTTTACAAGCCATCTCCATTACTCATAACAAGGATCACCTAAATCCTGTTAAATCCTTTCAACTTCAGCATTCATATAGTATAGTTGGTACTGTTTCTACACTATAAGCAGCAATGGTAACATATTGAACATCATTGAGTACTTGAGTTGAGTTAGGGACAACTTTATATTAAGTGACCACCCATGATCATTTAGCTATACTATACTTTCAGTTTTTTGTTTCTTTTAAAGGCTGAAAAATCTACTTCTGTCAGTACTCACAGGCCTAAAGCACTTAGAACACATACAAAATGACTCCAAATTAAAATTCCTCTACTAACAGGATAAGTCTCTAAATTTTCTATGGTAGAACTATTTGGGTAAAAACATATTTCCAAAGTACATCTATTACTTTCTATAAACTAGTTTCAATACTGAAATGTGGATACAGGCCAATTTTTCTTTATAGAACTTTGCTAACCTATAATAAATCCTCAGAAGCTATCAAAAAGAGATTACTCCTTTAAAGATCCCAACTGGAGTAAAATTCCATTACTGTAATAATCACTCTCACTATGCTTTATTATAATTATTATTTCTAAAGTAAATCAAATAATGTTACTCAACTCTCTTACTATCTGAAATATTTTTTAAAGGGAGTGAGGGTAAGTCTCACCACCAAAAGTTTGCTGAAATCCTAATGCATAAAACAAAGATATTATAGAAAAATATTTAAATCTTTATCACTCTACTATAAGTATTCCAATTCAAGAATTTCCAACAAGTTAGATTTTAATCCTCAATGACATTACTCATACTAAGTTCTGTCATAACACTTGCCTATCACTTAAATCTTTTTATTTTCCATCTTCAAATTTCATGGATTATAAAAAAGAGGAAAATTTTATTCTCTTTTCTTAAACATGTACTTCACCTATCACATATGGTCCCATCTCCCATAATAATCAACACAGTAAGCACTATGAAACTTCCTCCTGCCCCCAGATAAGGAGAGCTTTAAATATTAAAGTAAACCATATTACTCTCACATTTAAAGAAAGTGCATTTTGCTTAGAAAAGTAAAGGACCTTTACAAATAAATACTCTCCTTTAGTATATTATTAACAAAGTTTTTAAAAAGGGCTTGATAATATTATCCTTATAGTACTGGGGAGAAAAAGAAAGGCAATATAAATTCCACTCTGTTCAAAAGAAAAGCTACTGTAGACAGTCTAAACCCTATTTTCATAAATTATTTAATTTTTCTGGATAAAAAATTTATATATAAAGCTCACTCTTTAATACATAAACATATGGATATTTATTAGACTATCAGGCAGTAAAAAAGATTTCTAAGACTCTATAGATGATTCAAGCCTATTTCTGTAGGGCAGGAAGGAGTTTGGAGAGAGGAGCCAAGATTAGGAAAGCAAATTCCTATACCTTGAAATGTACACTTTTCAAAAAAACCGTGATTATACTCTCGAACCAGTTTAAAGGTTACCATTCAAATTTAGCAATTAATTCTAAATGAAAAATTATCATTTTTCTTATTACTTACAAAAACTTTATAAAAATACACTCATGCCAAGAACATTTAGTATCTACACTGTAACAATTTTTATTTTTAACTATTTTTAACATGAGTCTACGAAAAATTTTATTCTTGAAGCACTATGAGTTAGCATAACACTCAACAGAACGGAGTATTTATTACTCTTAAAAACTATAAAGTATTACTTGGGTGGATACTGGTATTCTGCAATAAAGTTTTCTAAAATCATATAATAAAACACAATTATCCTAGATTCTTGGTTTATTTGCTTTTTAAGATGCTAATTAGATACCTATTATGATTTTGGCATTAACCTCTAAATATAATGGTATTTAAATTATCCAGGCTTAGAAATCTAAGAAAAATTTTTGGTACCAAGTTACAGAATAAAATTTAAAAGGCAGCAAAGAAGAACAACTAAAACAAATTACTTATAGGCTTATGAACAGTGTTTAGCAATTATTGGACTTACCAACACTTACCTACCTAATTTAATATCTTTTCCTCTAAAAATGTATCTTAATCCTCTTTTATTCCAATAATTCCTATATTACTGCATTAAAGTATAAATGCACTGAAAATCCAGAAATATTCCCTTTTTCCATGAAAATACAACACACATGCACATGCGCACACACACACATATAGGACTACATATTGTACTTCTTTTAGGTAATCAAATTTTATTTGTGCAGCCACCTCCCCTCTCTCACGTCCCATAGCCTGCTTTAGGTTATGCATGTGGTTAATGCCTATTTCCTTTGCTATGTGGTTATAGCTAGTAACATTTACCCTTTTTAATGAATGGAAAGAAGTGCACTCATACTTACCTGATATTTAAAAATGTATTATCTTTTAAAGATTGTGCTTTCCACTGGCCACTGTTACTTACCTGTTTGAACATCAATAACCATCTGATGGCCTCCTCTCATTCCTGGCCGGTTATCTTCTCCATCACCTGAAGTGGAAATAATTTTTTTTTAAAGTAATAACAAAGAACAACTGCAAATCTGGAGTAACTTCATTCACAAGTCTGTTATGAGTAGTAAAAATAACCCACATTTATTCTTTGAAATTATTAAGAATAAGTAAAACGACTCAAAAAAAAGGGGTATGACTTAAATCTATGTTTATAATAACCTTACTCTTTTTTCCAAATGCTTTTAAAGATATCAGTGCAACAGAAGCTATTTTAATTTATTTATGACCAATACCATAAATCAACAAAGACACAGAATATTACCCAAAAACATAAAACAGAGGCTGTGATGGTCGAGTGGTTAAGGTATTGGACTCAAAAAACATAAAATAAAAATCTCTAATTGAGTACCAAAGTAAAGGTAGAAAACATTACAAAATTAGATCTCGTGCCTTTATTCCAGGCATAGTTTATTAATTTAATGAACAGTTTTAAAGTTCATAAAACTAGTTACTGAAAACTAAGATACTATGAAGTTTCATATTCATGATAATTTCCTTACTGTATTAATTTTGTATCAATATTTCAGAAATCAGTTCTCACCTAATTTACCAACTACTCTGAGTATTGACTGAGAAAATAAAAGATTTTACTTTGATTCTTATTACCATCAAAGAGCTTTATAAGTACGTTTAAATATAATCAGTGAAACTTTTAAAACTTCTGAAGGAGAAACCTGCTCGATTTATACCTACTTTTACTTTACAACAAATCTTAGATAAATAAATATATAACTTCATTTCAATGGTTCAATAGGCTATGGGATTCTAATGTCTTACTTGATATATACCAGAAAGCCTAAGGTTTTCTTCATAACTCTTCCATTCATTGAAATATATTACTTCAACTAGTAAGTTTTCCTGCATCAGCTTTCTCCCATGTAAAACTGAGAAGAACATCCAATTTTATACTACTTTCACAGGGGTGCTATGAAAATGACTGAAATGTCAGTTCTTACATATAGAAAATAAGATGCAAAACTGGAGCTTTTCATTACTGCTGTATTCAGTGGCTAACTACAGAAGTTTCTTGCAACTTCTTTCCCCCTTCTAATAGTTAAATTAAGCCTTTTAGATTTTGCAGCTCATTATTATTGAAGCTTTGCCCTTTCCTCTTTCTTCCCCTCAATAGTATCACCACTTTCAAAGAGATTAAGCACTAAAATAAATTCATTTTCAGTATGTTTATATTTTATATATTTAATCCATTAGTCTGTAAATACACAATTACAATCTGTTTGCTACAAGTATGCCTTTGAAGAAAATCACCTCATACATGACTGATAAAATAGGAGAATTATGTTCATATAACAGGTATTATGGAGGTTCATAAGCAGTTTTCCCCTGCATATTAATGTTTAACACTACTAGGAAAAAGCTTTCTCACAATTAAAGAGAAGGCCTTAACAACATATGAAGACTATAGGAAAAAAGCTGAATATTCATAGATCTGCCTTTCTTTAATGCAAGTAGTTCCATCAAGGAATTGCTACATTTTCCACTACATTCACTGTCTGGCAAAGCAGTGAATACATATGAAGAAAGGACAGAAATTTCCCCCTATATGAAAATAATGGATTAGTGAAGACGACTATACTTTGCATCAGATTTTAAGTTTTGATGCAAAGTCTTTATTAGAAGCAAATGCCCTCTAGGATCTACATCTCAAAGAAGGAAGCATGACCCCCATGGCTCAAGGATCCAAATACACTATGATGTTCAATATAAATACCTTTAAAGAGTTAACTGTACTAGTATTTACTGTTGTTGGAATTACTATACTAGTTTTTATTATAGCATCAGGTTATAAAGTTACATAGATTTCGAATGGACTAATCCCTTTCTATTTTATTCATAAGTCCTCTTAGCAATTTTGCAGAACTTCAGGTTTTCAGGAACACATGTATGGTATTACAACATAGCCTACAATTTTACAGTGTCTCTATAAAGGCAGTTTATGATGAAGTTGTATATGAAACTGCCCAACCTTTTGTTATGGAAATAAAATAGAAAGGTTTAAAAGAAAATTTAATACATTAAACTAACTCTGCCACCTAGGTCTTGTTTTAAACAACTTTTTTTAATGGTTACATTTTTATTCATTTATTTATATTTTCTGACTATTCTGGGTATGCAAACATTCTGGGTACATTAATTACTTTTGTACAGTTTGAGTCAAAGTTACAGGTATGTCCATCACCCAGATAGTGTGCATTGTACCCGTTAGGTTAAACACCTATTTTTTATTAACATAGCACTATGAAACTGGAGCTATCTTCAGAAAACTGAAGACTGAGATGCTAAAGAAAAAGCACCACAACTTAGAAGATACGGCTTACCTTTGGTGCTTTTGGGAATGATTTGACTCCATCGTGGTTTATATTCCTGTTGACTGATATACTGATTGAACAAGCCATCTGCAAATATCAAAGAATGAGAAAGAAATTATACCTCAACCAGCCTACACTTTTAATTACAGACAAAAAATGAAAATGTAGATGCCTGTATTAAGAGAAATTAATAATATCACTAATACAACACCACATTTTCTTAAAATATGCATCACTTCAGTTTCACTTCATTCTACCCCAAATATAAATAGTAAACTATTAGTTGACATAACCATGTAAAGAAAATTCTTTAGGGGCAGCTCATATTTAATTTATTATGTTTCCCATCATTACTGTACCTATTAAATACAAAGACATTAGTGCACTCAATGGACAAGTATGTGACATTAACAGAGAGTTAAATAGAAACCTTGAAAGAAGGAAAAGGAAGTCATCTGGACGAAAAAAAAGTTGTAGGATAATTTAAGGCTGCAAAACAGGAGCAGTAGAAAATAAAACAAAAATAAATAAAATAAAATAGTCTGTAAATAATCTGAATAAATGTTCTATTTCATTGGGAAAAAAGATTTGTGTATCTTTTAAAAATTATTTCTGGAAATTAACATAATACATGTGGGAAGAAAGGACAATTAAAGATTGGGAGGATTATATTTAATTCCTTTTTATGAAATCTCATCACTCATCTTTTTTTTTTTTTTCTGAAACAGAGTCTTGCTTTGTTGCCCAGGCTAGAGTGAGTGCCATGGCGTCAGCCTAGCTCACAGCAACCTCAAACTCCTGGGCTCAAGCAATCCTCCTGCCTCAGCCTCCCGAGTAGCTGGGACTACAGGCATGCGCCACCATGCCCGGCTAATTTTTTCTATATATATTAGTTGGCCAATTAATTTGTTTCTATTTATAGTAGAGACGGGGTCTCGCTCTTGCTCAGGGTGGTTTCGAACTCCTGACCTTGAGCAATCTGCCCGCCTCGGCCTCCCAGAGTGCTAGGATTACAGGTGTGAGCCACCTCGCCCGGCCTCATCACTCATCTTTATTACAAAATGTTTAATCTTTATGCCCTATGATGAAATGGATTCATTGCATCCCAATCCCTTCCCACCAACAGTGCCTTATACCAGTATTTTCTGTTACTAGTATACAACAGTCTTAGAAGAAAACAGGAGCTGCAACAACTTTGGTCTAGATCCATCTTCAGGCAAAGATAAAACTAACCCTGTCAAGTACAAATTCCACTGTTATCCAGTTTTCTTTGAGTACAAAACTATTCAGAGATAAAAGTAAAAACAGCAGTAATAGAACTATATTTACTGAACACTTACCAAATGTTAGAATCCATGCTGTTGTGCTAATCTCATTTAATTCTAAAAATAACACTATGAACTAGGCATTAACAACTCCATTTTACAGATTGTGAAATGTATATTTAGAGAAACCAAGGAACTTAACCAAAATCACACAAGTCTTAAGTAGTGAGATTACAACTCAAGTTCTACTTTGCTTTACTTACTCCTGAAGCTGTTTCACCAATAATTATTAATCTATTTCTTGAGAGTAGTTGTTACACTAGTTACTATAATGGTATGGAGACTGTACTCCCCACATATATCCAATTCTACCCCAAATGATTATCAAGTCCTACTCCCATGTTCACCAATCAAAATTAGTTTAATAATGGTATGCAGCCCAATTCTGGCTAATGAAACATGAAGAATCTTCTGGGGAACTTCTAGGCAATGCTTACTTACCTCTAAACAGGCATACACAGAAGAAAAATCTACTTTTATTCCTCTGAACATTTTCCTATCTGTATGCAAATGCAATTTGTAAAGGGGTAAGAATGAAGTCAATTCTATAATGATGACAGAGCAAAAACAAAGAGAGATAAAGAAACTGGATCACTGATCAACCAATCATGAAATCCACCTTACCTCTGTACTTCTTATATGATACAACATTTCCTTACTTGCTAAGCTAGGTTCTCTTTTACATGCACCCAAATAGGTCTCATTTTATAAAGTGACTTTTACTGTAAATTGTTATTAGATTGAAATTAAAAGTAAAAATGAGATTGTTCTCTGTGACTTATAAACTTGCCACAGACCACACAGTTTAGAGAAATCTCCCTAATCTCTTTCTTTTCTGGATAATTATGAAGCTCAGTTGTAACCAACTTTTTCAGCTTTCACATCTTTTCTGCTAGCTTTAACCGGAAACTTCCATCTTATATGTATGCTTGTAAAATATGTTTTTTGCCTTTGGGACTTTACAAAATTGTTGCAAAAAGATAACTTCCTTTTAAATTAGCACTCATAAGGCCGGGCGCTGTGGCTCACGCCTGTAATCTTAGCTCTTGGGAGGCCGAGGCGGGCGGATTGCTCAAGGTCAGGAGTTCAAAACCACCCTGAGCAAGAGCGAGACCCCGTCTCTACTATAAATAGAAATAAATTAATTGGCCAACTGATATATATATAAAAAATTAGCCGGGCATGGTAGCGCATGCCTGTAGTCCCAGCTACTCGGGAGGCTAAGGCAGAAGGATCACTCAAGCCCAGGAGTTTGAGGTTGCTGTGAGCTAGGCTGACGCCACGGCACTCACTCTAGCCTGGACAACAAAGTGAGACTCTGTCTCAAAAAAAAAAAAAAAAAAAAAAAATTACCACTCATAAATTGGCATTTACATTTTACTTGTTACAGCAAAAGGAACAAATATTGTCACAACTTATTTTAGTGAGAGCACTTCTATCATATAATTTACTCCCCCATGGGCTTTGTAACTGATTCTTACCCCATCCAGCATACTCTGACCAAAGCTCTTCTCCCATAACAAGAGTTGGAAACAATTTTTTCCAGATAAAATGTTGTGGGGCACTTCTTAATGGTGATGACAGTAAAAACATCAATAGTAAATTTAGAATTATATATGAATAAAACACAGTAACTAAATTTATTCTACTTTGAAAAATCGACATAAAAGTTTTAAAATGCTTTTTAAAAAAATTAAAGAGAATATAAAAGTATTCAATAAAGACAATGACTTTTGAAATATACATTAATTCTACATAATGGCCGAGGGGGAAAGAAAGAGAAAGAGCAAATAATAGGAATATATAGCAAAAACTGAGGGAGATAAGAAAACTTGACTGGAAAAAAACAAAGCAGAAATAGGGAAAATTAGAAAAGTAATAAAATTCACATTTTTAACAGTTCCAATTGCCACATTAGCTAAGTCTCCCATATTTATTCATTACAAAACTTTCAATAAGTCAAGCTCCTTATATGTAAAACTGGAACTTATGTGTTGGACGAGGCCTGAGATTCCTTCTAAATTCTGCCATACTAGGATTCCACCACTGTGAGAACCACTATATTTTGCTTGATACACCTATGTTCATCTTAGAAAAGTCTCCATCTTTTCTTTTAGAAAAAGTCTCTTCTTTTCCCTTAAGACTTCTGTGACTCTATCCTGAAAGACAAATAACAAATCCACTGGAGGAAATTCTTCTAAAAGTTCCTAAGGCAATGATCACAGCAACAATTCCAATCAGACGAAGGACCCCATCCCTGATCTTCAAGTCATGTGAACACTGCAGGTAAAATTAAATTCTCTAATTGCTTCTTCAACCAACCCTTCTATCCTCACTCTTGCTAACCTAAAAAGCTTATATATATTTTTAAACTTATATTTGAGTATAACTTTCCTGTTCCTAGGTTATTACATTTGCCTATCATCACTAGATTCTACATTGTCAGACAGGAAGTAGCAATTATTGGTTCAGGAAACACCTCTGATGAAATTAAATATGAGGATGTTTCTAGGCAAATAAGAAGACTCAAAGAAATATGGACAGCCTGGCACTTTCTTAAAATATAGACTTTAAGATCATACTAACATGCTAAATATGCTAAAAGTAGATTTTATTTCCTCCATTATAAAAAGCTTGATAGAACGTGCTTTTGATTCCCTAGACTTTTCTATTTAGCAGGCAGGAACTTCTTGTCCTCTGCTATGTTTTTAGTAGAGCAGAAGCCAAAAAACTCTGCACTGTTTACTTCCTTATTTGTCCAACAAATCATCATCAGTGCAGTCAGCAGCAAACTGAACAACCCTGAAAGGAATGCTTATTAACTAACAGTATTCCAGGCAAGTTGAGGAGAACTCATAGTAGTACAAAAAATACGGCTTAGCTCCACGTTTCAAATATTGAGTTACTGCCAATTTCCCTAAACTCAGTTCCTTTCTAGAGGCAGAAGGATAAGTTAAGTTTCTTTAGTAATCAAAGTTGCACATAATTTTAATAGCTCCTCTTAACCAAGTAAGTATACTACTAAAAAGATAGTTTTAAAACATGACTATTTTTAGCCTAATTACATAAAGTTGTCCATGTTTGTTTTACTTTCCCTTCACAAAATAATATCAAATGCCTTAATGATAACCATTTGAAACAAAACAAAAAAACTATAAAATTATGCACACCATCCTCATCCTATGAGGTTAAAAAATACAGAAATCACTCTTAGAAATGGCATGCATACATATATACTTTCACTAGTGGCATTTTAATGGTTTGGTAAGCAATTAATCATCATATAAGTTCTATTTGTTTATACTCCAAAGTATACTCTATTTTAAACATACCAATCATTTATTTGTAAGCATCATCATCAATTGCATAAGTAATAACAATGTACAAGCCTTAAAGGCAGGTTTGTCAATATATTTAACAAAGTAGAGCAGGAAATAATTCATTTTAAGTTAACTTTAAATTTCTCATCTCAAAGAAATGTACAGGTTATAGGTTCTCTGTTTTCTTTAGTTATAAAATATTCAACCCAATATCTGATAAATATGAGTATCTAATAAGAGTAGATGATAATAATGATAAGATTAAAATATATGAGGGCAAAGTGTTGAAAAGTCTGCTATTTATTATTTCTATAAAAGACACACCAGAATTAAATTCCGCATGTTTCATATTGAGCACCTATTCTGTTTTTTGCCACTATGAAAGTTAGTATGGAAGATGAAAGAAAATAAAAGACAAGACAGACAGGACATTTTTTCACTATCCGAGCCCCTCTCCCCAAAATTATACTATGAAAGAATAAATACTGGCTATCAACAAAAATGCTTTAAGAAAAAGGCCTCTAATACTGAAGGGAATGCTAAAAGATTATTTCTAACATGCTTTAATGCTAGTTAATGTTATCATTCTTGTTATCACTCTTAAGTGCAAGGTTTCCCAAGATGACAACTTAAAGTTAGATACCTGAGTTCAAGCATTCTCATATTTTTAAAAATCCCATTACGTTATAAATCAATCTTACACGAAATAAGCCCCTAATCTAAGGAGCTAACAATCTTTACAGAGTAAAAAAAACAGAAAGAAAATTAGGAAGAATGATAACTAGTATAGGTCTATATTCTTTTTGAAAAGGTTTTCTATATATACTTGGAATTACCCTAATAACCAATCTAAGTTTCATACCATTTACAGCTTTTTCAATCAACTCTTCGCAAGCATCAAAATCACCCTTCAACACCAGTTTGTCATGAAGATCTGTTAACATGGGATGTTCCAATGCAATCTTGGTTTTCTTTTGCAGTGATTCAAAAGCCTCTGTATAGTTATGTTGTCTGAAGTGTTTTAGGCAAAGGCGAATGGCTTCCTGTTCACGGTACTACTAGAACACAAGAGAAAGTATAGAAAGAAGAGATTTGTTTAGTTGTTACTATAGGAAATAATAACAGTGAAAATAATTAATCTAAATTGAGCATTTACTATGCACCAAGCACTGTACTAACCCAATTCATTAGATATCATTATTTCCATCTTTCAAATAGTAAAACTGAAGCTTAGCCCATTGTGATAACTTGCCCAAGTACCACAAAGTATGTAGCCAAAGAGAGAAAACCAGACCTAATTCCAGAGCCTGAACTCTGAAGAAAAAAAGCAGAACAGGTATTTATTAAAGCCCACTTAAAACTGGAAAAATCATAACTCCCACGACATCCACTAATCACATTACAATGCAGGTACTGAAAGCACAAAAGCCATTAAATAATATACATAAATTATATTATGTTTTTTGGTTTTGGTTTTTAATAATAAGCTATTGAATGACAAGTATTATCAAATGTACATGCATTTCAAATTTACAAACAGGTTTTATGACTCAAAAATCATCATAAAAAGACTATATTTCATCGTTTTCTAAGCCTATGCTACCTCAACTATTAAACAGCTACAAACAAGACATCTTAATTAACCAGAATCCAAAAAGTGGGCACTCAGTTTACTGAATTTTTCCTAAAACAGGATAAATGTCAAAAATATAAGCTCATAAAAGGATTTTTTTAAAAAACATCAACTTCAAGAATATGTTGTGGGATTACCCCTAATTTTCTTAAGTATACTGATGTACAAAGAGATGACACAGAAGCACTGCATTATAATCAAACAACAAACAGTGATTTACTTATAAGGATTACCCTTTAATAAGGCAAGCAAATAAAATGCTGACTTCAGGAAGATTTATAATACTTGAAATACAAATCAGTTGATAGTTTACTGGACTATTTGACTAATAAAGATTAAACACCTATCCTTCTTTATATGCTACAATTAACTGAGATTTTACGTTATCAAAAAAAATCAATGATTCTATAGCCATACTAATTTTACATTAATACTTTTTTATTCTTGGCCTCTAAAAAAAGACTTATCCCAACTATCTATATATAACTGTATATAGTTATACTAAACAGTGATACCTTCTAACCAGGTTGACTTTAGGAGTCTCAACCATATCCACACTTTCAATTTTCCCTCAGGCTGCAAAATTATCCCACTAAAAACTTCTGTCTAAAGTATTTATATCAATATAAGTTAAAAACAAAATACAGGGTCACATAGGAACAATAATATAACAGCAGACTATGGAGCCAAAATATCTGGGTTTATATACTTACTGGCTCAAGCACTTCACAACTGAGTGATCCTTGGCAAAATACTTAACTTCCCTGTGCTCCATTTCCTCATCCATAAATTAATGGGGATAATAATTGTACCTATCTCAGAGTGATGACTAAACAAGTTATCAATTGCTTAAAGCTGACAGACCCTAAATACTTAATAAATGTTGGCTAATTAATCATTACAATTATTATTCTCCTCAATATCTTAAATTAGAAAATTCTCAGTAAAGATAAGAGATTGACACATTTCTTCCTTTACAGGCATTAAACATAGAGTTGGGATTTTAAAATACAACCTACCTTGCTATACCAGTTGAGACAGGGTTGTACTACATCAGGATCATCAATGCCACTAAGTTCAACATACCAGATGCTAAAGTTAAAGCTGGGCCCCCAGGACAAGAGTGGAACTTTAAAGAAGAAAAACAAAAACAGAAAGAAAAAAAATTAACATAGTTCAAATAAAATTTTAGCACAGTAAAAATTACACATAAGCCTATAAAGATTCATTCAACAAATTTTCTGGGCAGCACAGTACTAAGGCTATAGTAGTAAAAACAAAAACAAAAACCACATGATCCTTGCCATCATAAAGTTTTTTTAGTTAATAAAAACAATGTAAGATAAATTCTAAGTGGTTATATATCTACTGCTAAATAAACACAACCAAAATTAGATGATTTAACAGGTAAATTTTATCAAATCTATAAGCAGCAGATAATTACTATATAACTTAAACTATATCAGACAACAGAAAGAGATCAAAAGATCAATTACTTATCAGTGGAATAACCCTGAAAACAAAAGGATTTTGGGCTTTTGGGCAGAAGAAAAAAGATTTAAGGCCAATTTCAGCTATAAATATATTAAGGGGAAAAAGAGTTGCAAAAAATTCTATCAGGTTCTTTGTAACAAAATAGACTTCATTCCAGGAATGGAAGGATGATTCAATAATAAGAGCTATATTAATGTAATTTACCACTGTAACAAAATAAAAGAAAAAAATGCTTGATTACTTCAATAGATGCTAAATACAAATTAATAAGATGTATATTCTATTCACTATTTTTTAAAAACCTCTACTATTCAATACTATATGGGAGGTCTTAGCTAATCCAATAAGAAAAAAAAGCAAATTAAGGAAAAAAAAATGTAACTCAAAGATGAGACAACTATCTTAAAAATTCAAGCAATTCAATTGAAAAATGTTTTTAAAACAGCTAAACCTACAAAAATCAACTTTTCTTATACCTACAATAGTCAATTAGAAAATATAAGAAAAAAAGTCCAGTTTATAATAGCAAAAAAGAAAGCTAAACATATCTCAGAACAAATTAAACAAAATATATAATATTTATTTAAGAAAATATACAATTTTAGTGAAGAATTAAATAAATGAAAGGACAAACGATGTTCCTAGATAGAAAAACTCAATGTTGTAATCCTAGCACTCTAGGAGGCCGAGGCAGATGGATCACTCAAGGTCAGGAGTTCAAGACCAGCTTGAGCAAGGGTGAGACCCCCGTCTCTACTAAAAATAGAAAGAAATTAGTTGGGCAACTAAAAATACATATATAAAAAAAATTAGGGCATGGTGGTGCATGCCTGTAGTCCCAGATACTCAGGAGGCTGAGGCAGGAGGATTGCTTGAGCCCAGGAGTTTGAGTTTGCCATGAGCCAGGCTGACACCACGGCACTCTAGCCCGGCAACAGAGTGAGACTCTGTCTCAAAAAAAGCAAAAACAAAAAAAAAACAACAAAAAAAGAAAAACTCAATGTTCTAAATATGCCAATTCTCCCCAATTAATTATAAATTTCATGTAATCTCAATCAAAATCCCTATGGCTTATATTCATCATTTCTTGACATGTAACTGAACAAGCTGATCTAAAAAGATAAGTAACACAAGAATATCCAAAATAATAAAAATAATAACGCAAGTACCCCACAAAGATACAATAATTATGACTTTGAAATTAGGGAAAGAAAAGGAAAGGAAATCAGCAGAATAGATGAGAGAATGCAAAAATCTCAAGTATCAGAGGAATTTAACGTATGATAAAGGTAACACTGCACATCAATGACAGAACAGAGTAGAGGTTTTTGTTTTTTTTTACTTCAGCATATTATAGGAGGACAAACGTTTAGGTTGTGTGTTGCCTTCTCCCTCCTTCCCCCTCAGCCCCCAGAGTCAGAGCTACAAGCGTGTCCACTCCCCAGATGGTAGGCATCACACTCATTATGTATGTATATACCCATTCCCTCCCCCATCGGCCCAACGCCCCATAAATGTTATTCCTATATGTCCCAGAGTAGAGGTTTTTAAAGCATGATCCATGGACTCCTGGGGATCTCCATAATCTTTCAAGAGGTCCCATGCAGTTAAAAACTATTTTTCATAACACTAGGACCTTGTCAGCCTCTTTATAATACTGACATTGTGCACTAATGGTACTAAAGTAATGGTAAGTAAAAATGCTGGCACCTTGGTACCGAAGTAATGGCACTCAAAAGTACTAATAGCCCTTAATACAGCATAAATTGCACTGTATTCCTCATCACAACACACTTGCAGTTAAAAAGAAAGTATTCACTTTTACTGATGATGCAGTAAAAATAAATTTTAATAAATCCCTATCACGCATTAAGTACACAAAAAATCCTGTATGACAAAAAGGGAAGTATATATAAAGCACTTTTGCCACATAACAAAGCATAATGGTCATCTTAAGGAGGACTTGTACAATTGTTTGAGTTTTGAGTTAAACTAATTTAATTTTTTTCATGGGATACTATTTTAATCTTGAAAGAAAAACTGACAGACAACCTACAATTATTTATATTTATTATTTGCCAGACATTTATTTGTCATTTCAAGGAAAAGAACCAATGATACTTGCTGTCAGGGATAAAACTCAAGCTTTCAAGAGAAAATTAGAATTTTAGAAGTTGGTATCTGCCACTGTGACTTTGACTGCTTCTCAAGATTTAGGATTTCTGAGGAGATTGGAGGTGATATTAATTAATGTGATTTTAAATATTATAAAATGAAATGTTTCAACATTTGGAAGATCTGTATAACTCAGTGAACTGATTTTCTAAATGAACAATGAAGGATGTTTCAAAGTCATACATGGATGAAAAGTTCAAGATAGACTAAGGAATTTTAATGTAACAAAGTCAGTTCACAGATGTGGTTTCAGAGTCAACAAGCAACTACTTTTAAGAAACTAACACTTGTCCAGTTTTGATAAAGTAACAGAACATCCACCATAGTTGATACCCAGTCTACTGATTTCCAAGTTCATTGCTCTTGCTGGCATATCAGACTGAATAAGGAGGTAAGATACAGTGGGTCACAAACTGTCCTATATCATTGTCATCTAAAGGGAGCTGTGTGAATGAAGATAGACACAGGCAGTAGCAACCAGCCACGAAAATGTATGAAGAATTCCTAGGATGTTTAATATGGCTTTCTGTTACATGTGCAAACAACAAAAATTTGAAAAAGTTTTATAGTAACAAATACTAAATTATCATCGTTTTGCTGTTTATTCTTTATGTAGCAGTGCCATTTAAAAGTATATCACAAGTATATATATCAAAAGTAAAAGTATATCACATAGCAATAACCATCAAGTAGTATACGAGTCAAAATAAAATAGGATTCTAAACCCAAAGCTCCAATAACGTAAGTCTATATATGTAACCAGACATATGAGTTTGAGATTTCCACGTCCAAGTTCAACAAAATTGGGGAGGGGGGAGCTTCCTATTATAGCCATTCAAATAATCAAATTCACTTATTAAAACCTTTTAAACATTTGTGTTCTAATGAGATTTCTTCTGTATACTCAATGGTCAAACAGAAATATTTCTAGAATAAAATTAGTTCTACTGTTTAACATCTTTGAAAAACACAGGGAGGTAAATTATGAAGTCATCTCACCAAAGGACATCACATACTACAGATGAATGAACAATCTAATTTTTAAGAGATTAAAGGAATATGTACAAAATGATGTACACTCATTTCAAATTACCAATGATTTTTGATGGCATTAAAATACTAATAATGCACATTAGACATACTATGCACAAAATATCTAAGAAATCTAAAAACGAATTAGAGCTACACACACACACATTCTTTGTCCCCTGATAAAAGATGCCTTTGTTTCCACTTCAAATAAATGCATAAGACACATCCCACAAGGCTAGCAGTTTGTATCCTAGGGTTCAACCATCAGTTTTCCCTACAGTACAATCAAAGATCCTTGATTGTCACCCCTTTTCATAAAATGGGATACACAAGGCACACAAGGATACTAGGCTGGGACTCCTTCTATTCTGGGATTGAGGAAATCAATACCTCAACACAACAAAACACATTTGCAGCACATTCAATGTGCTTTGACAATATCACTTGTGAAGCTCTTGTCTAGATGACTAAAAGAGCTATTGCAAGATGCTAGTAATTTTAGGATCAGGTCTGGAAGATCCTAAAAATTCAAGATTAGCCACTGTGAAAGAGTTTATCTAGTCTACTAAAGTACACAAATACTTGTGTCTAATAAGTACACAAAGCACTTAGCACAGAAACTGGCACATACTAAGTGCTCAATAAATGTTAGCCATTAATTATTATTATTATTATCAGCTAGTATTACTATGTTAGTTTTCTTCTTAATAGTGAACTTTTAAAATGCCACTTTTCCACATGTTCTCCTAAAGAGCCTCCACACATACCCATGCAGACCAGCAGAGCACTCCCCAGACTTAGCACCTACCCTAAGCTTCTAAATACTTCTGGGATCCAGAAGGCATGCCATGTCCAGCCAGAGCTGAAGCCTCTCTCTAAAGTCCCCACAATGAGCCAGGCTGCAAGTGACTCCTTCACAGAAATCCACAACTCCCCATTTACCAAAACCCAAGACTTCCCCTTAATCCTTTCAAGACTGGGTACTTCATCTACTTTCGCTGATTTCTTCATACAGCTGTTATCCTGTCTATGAATCAGGATGTAAACCCTCACAGTCATCTGTAACGAATACCCTCCCCCTATTCCACCTTATGTTTACTCTCCTCTGATCTAATCTCATGCTGAAGTTGTCCCTCCCAAACCTTTAACTTGCTCTCTGGAATCCAGTGTCCCAATTAATAACTCTCCTTCTTTGCTCAATGTTCTTTTTACTGCTAGGCCTTACTCCAAACCAAGTTTCTTTCTAAGGCTACTCTCTACTTGCATACTAGGTACTGTCAAAGACCTCATTCCAGACTGGGCTCTTTGCTTTTTGGTGCCTTGTACCCCCTTTGGCTGTTCAGTGAACCCTATGACACCCCCACCCCAGTTTTAAACATATAAAGAAAAATATGTAGTATTAAATCAATTGTATTGAAATATAGTTATAAAAATAATGAAGAAATAAAATTACCATATAGAAATAGATATGCTTTTTTAATTACTACATTCAATAACAAGATCTGATGGCAGGTCTAATAATTATCATCATTTCAAAGTTGTGATAATATTTGCCACACTGTAATGTAATGGGAAAAATTGGTAACTTCTATCTGTGACAAGTCACAGGTAGTGCTACTACTACAAGTTATTGCTGGTATTTATAAATGAAGGATATGCTAAATATATTAACGAGGTTAGAAAACATAAAGATGTAACTTTTTTCTCAGCAAGTTCATGAAGCCACTGATTTACCCCCCAAAACTCTTGTACAATAAATTCAAAAAGTACATATACAATGTTTGTAGTGAGGCAAGCAGTCTGCTTGGTGCTTTTGAAATTTGAGAAAACAGAAGGCAGGGATACTGTCTCCAAGGATTTTCCAATCTTCCTAAGAAACAACACGTACATATATCACACATTAAGAGAACTCAACCTTTGGAAGTAGACTTGAGTTTGTTATCCCATCTCTGTGTTTTACTACTTGTATGGTTTTGGCCAAATCATTTAATCTCTAAACTTCAATTTCCTCCTCTGTAAAATGAGTACAATACCTATCTCACAGAGTGTTAGGCAGGCACTTCATATATGGTACCTACTATTATTACTAAAGCAATACAAGCACACATCTAAAAGTGTTATGCATATACCAAATGCTATGTCTTTGATCCATCACATACTAGCTTAAGTAGCTGGGATAGGTCATTTGATTTCTACCCTCTGTTTCTTTAACTGAAAAAGAAAGATTTTTATCTGCCAATATGATGTTCAAATTAGATACCATATGTGAAAATACTCATAAAACCCTTAAAAACAACAAAAACATAACAAGCTTTAAATAATGATTGCTGAAATGACATAATGAAATGATAAATTATACTTGTACATATTCTTTTTCTATAGTACCTAAAATACTACCTGTAAGAAGACATATAAACAAGAGCTTTCTGAATATAAGTATAAAAATGCATAAAAAGACATTCATATGAAAACATTCCTTCATTAAGTATGATCTTAAATGAAAATTCAAAAGACTACCACAGATCCACAAACTAGAAGAGAACTCAAGAACATGCTAATATAGCTACCTACCCTATCATTAGGCAGAAAAGGCATTATCATCCTCGTTTTACAAAAATGCAACTTAAGAAAGGAAAGTAAAATTTACCTGAAGGAAGGCAGCCAATGGTATCAATTCAACTATGCTGGTACTCTGGATTATCCACAATAGATTTTAAAGCCTAACCCCTCCCACATAGTAAAAATGTGGGCTTATTTTCCTTGTTAATAATTTATGACCAAACGTCTCTAATTTGGTTTAAGAAAAACTTAGTGAATAAGCTATATTCATTATAAATCAAAATTGTTATGGTTAGATATCAGTGCAGGACTTGGACATTATCTGCCATTTAATTAGTCTTGCTTCTGTTTTCCTCCATTACTGTGAATAACTGAAAGCTGATTATATTTAGCAATTGTATTAATAAACTTATTTTTTAAACAAAGCAAAGATCTTTCAAACCTATCACTGTACAACATAGATGTGAAGTATTTAAACACATTTTTTAAAGACAAATTCTAACAATTTACCCCAACCAGATAAACATCTGTGCTAAATCACCACCAAAGGAGAATTATACATCACTCAAGTCCTTTATTGAAATGATTTAAGAAAATATGGTGATAAACTAAAAATACTAACCTAACATTCAGGCTTTTAGTTTCACATTTTCCTTATATTACTTTAAAAAAAAAACTTATCAAGAGAATGTTGGAAAAGGGTTGAAAAACAAACAAACTACAGATTAGTATTAGTATCTTTTAACAGAAAAGTCAGAAATATGAAATTATCTAGTAATAATATCCTAAATATCAAGGGCTCATAAGTGTCTACTATTAATTGGAAAGCTCCAATTAACGTTTTGCTTGAATACCCTAAAACTAATCCCAGGTCAAGTAAATGATATCATTATGCCATATGTTGGTCAAAGGGTACAAAGTGTCAGTTAGACAGGATAAATAAGTTCTGGAGATCTACTGTACAGCATGGTCACTAAAGTAATAATTTACTGCATACCTGAAAACTGCTAAGCGAGCAGATCTTAAATCTTCTCACCACACACACACAAAAATAAATATGTGAGGCAATAGATATGTTTATTGGGTTGATTTAATCATTTCGCAATGTATACATATGCCAAAAACTCACATTGTATACCATAAATATATATAATTATTATTTGTCAATTTTACTCTAATAAATCTGGAAAAACTTTTTTAAAAGTACACATACCCCAATACTTGGCAAAAAAAGGAAAAAAGAAAAAACGGAAAAAAGGCTGACAGAAAGGGCTGGAAAGGGTTCCATTTGCCACTGCTTGTAAATTTGAAATATAAGATCATAATATTGTTAAAGCTATGCAAGGGTCTTTAGGAACTGGGAAGTTAAATTCTGATGAAAATATTACTAGTACATAAAAGGAAATAACCAAGAGTTAAATTCATTCCAAAAAATCGCTTATTCATAAATCCTTACAGGAAAAAGATACAGGTTTTCATTTACAACTATTTATTACAGCAACAGAAAATATAGTTACTATAAAAGAACGTAACACATTGAACATCCAACTATTCTGAAAATATTTTTCCATCTATAAGTAGTCTTTATTAAGACCTCAGATATTCTTTTTGCCCCATAGAACTGCTGACTCATGAAACGAACAGGCCAGCTCTTGACAGCATTAGAAACAATGACTATGAACAACAGTGCTTGTTCCAAAAGAGAAACCATTTCTTTTTTTTTTCTAGGAATACTATGTTGAGAACCAAAAGAGAAATCATTCCCCCAAATCAAAATGTAATGTGGGATTCTGGCTTCTATTATTATTCTTTGAGGGGTCTGATGCAATTTAGTCTTTATTTTAACATAGTATTTTCAAAGGTTTGCAATATGGATAGAAATTAAGAGATTCAAGTCCTCAACTTTCCTACCTTCTAAATAATAAATTGTAAAGAAAAACAAAATAATTTGAAAATTACTAATTTTGAAGACCCATTACAAATATTTTAAGCTAAAAAACTTTCTAAATAAATACATGCCTTAAGCAGTATTTTTCAAACAGTGGTTTGCAAAGCACTAGTGGGTCATAAAATCAATTTAATGGGTTTGACCAGCATTTCACTAAAAAAATGAAATACAAAAGGAGAAAACAGAAAATAACCATAATATATTGCCTTAAGGAATTCATCAATATTTGGTTTTATAATACTACCACTTTAGTACAGCCAATAAACTTTCCATACAATTAAGGTAATCAAGTCACTAGATCCCTCAAAATACTCTAAGAAAACTTTCAAATGAGAAAATATTTGGAAAAGGCTCCACTTGAAATAACTGTCAGTAATGGATTTATATAAAACAGGAGTCAGCAAACATTTTCGGTGAAGGGCCAAACAGTAATCTTTTTGGGCTTTGTGGACTATGTGGTGTCTTGCAACTACTCAATTCTGTCTTTGTAGCACAAAAGCAGACAGTATGTAAACTAACTGGTATGGCAATGTTCCCATAACATTTTATTTTAAATAACATAGGGCCTACATGATTTGGTCTGAGGGCTGTAGTTTGTTGACTGATAGTATAAGGAATTTATTTCTAGTCCAGAATGCTAAAAAAAAAACCTTACCTATTTTAATGAATCGACAAGGGAACATCTGTTCATCAATTTTGTGCTTCAAGGTGAACGTTTCTTTGTTATAGTCATTCTTTAAGCCACTGTGGGAAAAAAATAAGGCTATCAAATCTAACTTCATAACTTAGGAAATACACTAAAATACAGATTAATGTCATACTCAGGTTTTAAGTTTAAATCAATGCTAAAAATATATGACCAAGACAATATAAACACACAGGAATATAGGTCAAAACTTGTACATTCAAATCAACTGCATTATAACTATAGTCTCTTAATTATATGAAGGCTAATGAAAAATATATAGTGGATGGAAACGTGTGACACGACCTAGTGTCTTTAATGTATAACTGAATATGACACAAAATTTTCAAACAGTAAGAAGGTAGTTAGAAAACAATTCACGCTCATATCTGACAACTTAAAGCCAAATACTAGAATTTGCCAAAGAATTAAGTTATTTAATTCTGATTGACATGCCCATGTTCCTTCTATGGTGCAACACATTTTCGAGAATTTTACTCTGTTGGTTTAATAGCATGTGCTTTATCCTAAATAAAAATAAACTCATATCACCTCTCTGCTTCAACACACCTAGGATTGATGCAAGTATTTATGGGAAAGTCACTTATCTTCAGGTTGCCTTATATCCTGAAATACTGTCATGACTTAAATCAAATGCAGTACAGAAGTAATATTTACTTACAGGAAGTATTGTGTTAATGGGACACACCATGTCACAAATATACCCTAAATCTCCATGATTTTATTTGTCTATTGCATTAGCTATCTGATTTTTTCATTAGCTGGGGGGCAAATTAACCTACAGTCTATGGCTATTAAAACTCAAATTTACTGAGCCCCTTCCAAGTAGCAGGCACTGTGCTAGGTACAGTCATATATTTTTTCATTTACAGAACCTTCCTCTTTTTAGTCTCTAATTTATAGTAAATTCCTATTACTTGTGGATTAGGGTAATCAACCTTAGTGTTTTGGACAGAGCCTGTGTTTTTTTAAAATAGCAAAGATTACAATAAAAAGTTTTATTAAAGCTGAAAGTATTTCTAAAGTCATTAACAGTTCAAAAGTACAATTGAAAACGAAGGAAAAAAACCAAAAAATTTTAATTCTTTCTTCTTTGGTAAAAATATTAACTAGTGTCTGGTGGTTGAAAAAACAAAAAAAAGCAAACTCAAGCCACAGTATCAAAATGAGGCATTAGGAATAGGAGAAATATTCTTTCCTTCCCTGAAACAAAAAGCAAACCATGCAGATTTAGCTACAAAGAGACTAAACTAAGACTACGGATTGTTTAGAAGATAGCTCTTTCCTCCTCATAACCATAACTTACCTAGACAATAGCTCTGTCATATTTTCTTCATTCATTCCACCAAAGACTTTAAATTTCTTCAAATTGCAGACATGAGTTTTCTCATATTTTCCAAATGTGATATTCTGAACTATAGCAGGCCTTTCGAGCTTCAGAATCAAGTACTAAAAACAGAAATAAACAAATTATATCCTCTTCTGTTTAAAACAAATAGCTAGACAACCTTAAAAGTTAAAACTTTTGATGATTAACAGAAAAATATGTAAAGTCTATCCTGTCCACTCTGCACTAGATTTTTTTTAAAAGCTTAAAAATAGTACACAACAGCCTTATAAAGGATATCATAACATCACCAGTTTTTACTCTGTAGAGCCCAGAAACTACATTATCCTGAATAGTGTAGATGAAGAAGAAAAAAAAGAACTAGTGAGATAACTTCTAATCAGGAATGGTATTTAATAAAAGATATAACCAGACTATGCATATACAAATAAAATAAGATTAGAATATAAAAATAATTAATAATACATATTCCCATGGACTATATTTTAATAGCTATATCAATGTTTAAAACCAGCAATAAAATTTTTAAACCTAGGAACAAACTTAAAGATTTACTACTCATCTCTGCCAATTTTACAAATTAAAAAACCCAGAACTACTATAAATATGTTTAATATAGCTCAAGTTTTCTTACCATACATTGGGTAAAATGGAATTAGTTAAAGTCGAAACATTTTCACATTATGCAGACTGGTTTTGATTATAAAAATTAAGGTGGAAATTACCACTGGTTGAATATATGGGGAAAAGCTATTCTGAAAAACAGTTCAGATGTTTTGTTGGAGAGATTTCATGTTCCATGGTAATGGGTATTATAGGTGATAAAAATGATAAGAATAAATTTATCCTATCTCTTACCATGAAAAATTAACTCAAAATAGATAAGAACTGATCTAAAATCAATCCTTAGGATCAAAGACCTACATGTAAGAGCTAAAACTTTAAAACTCTTAGACAAAAACATAGAGGTAAGTCTTCATAACTTTGGATTTGGCAGTAGATTCTTAGATATGACACCAAAAGTACAAGCAACAAAATATGAAATAAATTGGACTTCATCAAAATTAAAACTTTTCTATCAAATGACACTATCAATAAAGTGAAAAGACAACCTACACAACAGAAGGAAACATTTGCAAATTACATATCTGATAAGAATCTAGTATCCAGAATATATAAATAACTCTTACAACGCAACAATAAAAGGCCAATCAATCCAATTTGAAAACAAAGGATCTGAATAGCCCTTCTCCAAAGAAGATAAACAAATAGCCAACAGGCACATGAAAAGATGCTCAACATCATCAGTCATCAGGAAAATGCAAATCAAAATCACAATGAACAACTAACTACTTTATACACATTAGGACTGCTATAATACTGATAATAACAAAACATAAAATAAGTATTAGCAAAGATGTGGAGAAACTGGAACTCTCATACATTGTTAGTAGGAATGTAAAATGGTACAGACACTGTGGAAAAGAGTTAGGCAATTTCTCAAAAAATTAAACACAGAATTACTACATTACCAAGAAATTCCACTCCTAGGTATATACCCAAAAGAAGTGGAAAAAAAAAAAAGGATTCAAACAAACACTCACACATGAGTATTCATGGCAGTACTATTCACAATAGCCAAAAGGTGGAAACAACCCAAATGTCCATCAACTGATCAATGTAGTATTTCCATACAATGGAATACTATTCAGCCATAAAAAGGAAAGAAGTATGGATACATGCTACAACATGGATTAACCTCAAAAACAGGCTAAGTGAAAGAAATCAGACACAAAAAGTTTTTATAAGACTTCATTTATATGAAATATCCAGAGTAAGTAAATGCACAAAGGTAGAAAGCAGATTAGTGGTTGCCAAGAGCTGGGTTGAGATGGGAAAGGAGAGACTCCTTAATGAGTATGAGGTTTCCTCCCGGGTGATGAAAATATTTGGGAACTAGACAGAGGTAACAGTTGCTCAACACTGTAAATGCACTAAATCTCACTGAACTATACATTTTTAAATGGTTAATTTTATGTGACTTTTACTTCAAAAAAATGAATTGAATAAAAGAATAGTAATCGAAGCTAATGTTTTCTGAGCACTAACTCCTTATTCAGCACATTGCTCAGACTTTTTTACATGTATTGTCTCATCAGTTGTAGTATAGAAGAGAAGGAGGAGTATTTTAATAATACTAGTTAGCCTTATTTTACAAATGAAGAAATCTTGGCTTAGAAAGGCTAAATAACTTGACTATTGTTACACAGCTAATAAACAGCAGAGCTAAGATTAAAAATCAGTCATCTGCCTCTGGCTTACACTGTTGGTTAGCTGACCCAACCTCCATTCTCAGCCCAGTTATTCCTAGACACCTTCTAGCCAAGGGTAGATAAATGAGAAAGTTCTGGTCAATGAAATATAAGCAAAAGTTTGTAATGGGATAAGTCTTGCTTTCTGAAACAAATGCTACTTCTCCTGCCTTTTGCTGTTTGAACAGTTATAGCTGCAACAATGACTGTACAACCATGGAGGAAAATGGCCAAGAGAATCTCAGAGACAACCATCTGTAAGCCACTCAACTTCCACCAGCAGCTGCCTGTCTCTGGTTTTTGTTACTTTCAGAGCTACTTTAACCTGTATAAATGCCACACATATGATTTTAATTGTACATATTTTGGTGTATTTATAAGATACAGACTTAAAAATACCATATCATTATACACCAGAAAAAAATTAACAGTGGCTCTTTAAGGTCCTAAAAAATCCTGTTAGTGTTCAAAACCCAGAACTGTCTTATAAAAAAATTTTTTTTCAGTTTAAGTCCAAATAAGGTTCATGTATTATGATTGGTTAATATATCTCTTAAGTAACTTTTAATCCAGTGGTGTCCCTCATTTTCTTTTTTTCCCCTTTAAATTTTTTGTTGAAGAAACTGAGTTGTTTGTCCCTAAGACTTTCTTTCCCACAGTCTGGATGTTGCTGACTGCACCCTCCCCACCCCATGTTTATTTTTTGTAAATCAGTAATTTAATCTTTTCTAGTCTTCTTATGTGGGGAACAACCATCAAAAACCTATTTATTTAATCCACCGTTAATAGGACCTTTTGTTATTTAAAGCTAAAAACATTCCTGCTGATTCACTGATCCCACAGCCAAAGCTTTAACCCACTACTTGATAAAGTCTGTCTAGGTTTATATGTCGTTTACACTCTAAGTAGCTATTAAAATTTTTTATTACAGAAATTGCCACAGAAAATTGAAATTGATATTCTTTATTCATTAACCTTTTTATACACCCAATAGGTGTAGTAATGTGACTTTTGGTAATTTAGTTCCCTAAGAATACAACTGTATATTGAACAGACTATACAGGTAGATATTCACATCTTTTTATCTTTCTCATTAACTCACATTCCATCCACCCCCTTCTTCTCCTTCCTCTCACTCTCAGTCACCCTTTTAAAGTCTCGGTTTAGATGTTCAGTTTACCCTGACAATTGCTTTAGTTAGGTACAGTGTTGCAACTAGTAAAAATAGGCCTTTATACAATGTTATACACTATCCATTATTCCACATATTATACCCCTAAATACAATAGAAACCATCTGTTTATACACATACAATTATATTAATAACCAAATAGGAGTTTTGTTATTAAAAATAAAATCTAGAGTCTCTAAAGTAAAATACAATGGTCTGACTGAAACACCTTTTAAATAAATATTTTAATCTTTTAATCATATTTTAACTTTATTGGTACTTTTTAATTTCCATTTTTCTAACTCTTGAGTATCAATTAAACAGTATTGTTCCATAGTTAAGTAGGCTTCCATTATTTTTAATTTGGAACAATGACTGTTATAGATTCAGTAATAACAACTATAAAAAATAAAATTCATTAAGAATAAACATTTTAGAAGAACTATTTTAGAAGCTAGTTACTACCTTGAAATTATATATATATATGGGTATTAACATAACAATTTTAAAATAAAACATAATGAGCCACATCTCTTTAACAAAAATGGGAAGGACACACACAGAAGAGCAAAGAGTTATCACAATGGTCCTTAATTTACCATAGAACTAAAAATGAAAAAAAAATTTTTTTAATGTTCAAAACTTGCTCAAAATTTCACCCTAGAGAGGTTTTTGAGTGTGAGAAACATGATTTTAAAATTCAGTTTTCATCATATAAATAATTAGTTTATGATAAAGAATAAGGGTGAGATAAAAGAGGAAAATGTGATGGGGGAGCTAGTGGTAGTAGGACTAACTTTAGAGCCTTAGCTAGGACTATCAGTACAAGTCTTTATGCAGTTTTCATTTATGCTACATTTATTCTCTACCAGCACAGATGATTCAGAATTAACAGTGATGTTTTCTCATTAGGTATCAAAATATCTGCCCCCATCAAAATAAAAATGGCTTTAATTTTTATTATAAACTACAAATCCTAATTTAAAACGAAAATCAAAAGGGAGATAAAAGCATAAGAAATTTAAGAGAAATTCAAAATCACCTGAATTTCACCATCCTCAAATCACAACTACCACTGCCATTTTGAAGATAATTCAATTTAACTTTATGCACACATTCAGACAGACGCATACTTTATGTTAACTGGTATACCATATATGTGGTGTTTTCTTTTTTTTAATGGGAATAGCTTTGTAAATGAAAATAGTTCTTTTGGGTTTTTTGGTCCTTTCATTTCTTCTCTTAAATAATCAATTCTAACAATCAGGCATATGCCTATTCATATCTTGACCTGAGTTCATTGCACCAAAACCAAATTTAAACATGTATATGCATACATTTATACATACACACAAACACATTGGCAAGGGGGGAGGGAGAGTCATTACTTAGGTCAGAATAGTAGGATCTTATTGTAAATGCTTCTCTACATCTTGCTTTTCTCACTTTACAGTGTAAATCTTTCTAACTTAACTGGTATACAGCAGTTTATTTTATTCAAATGGCTGGTAATATTCCCTGAAAAATGTATTCTAGCATTCTCATGTAAATAGGTATTCTTTTTCCCCCAGACTTACATCCTTCAAAAATTGCTACATTAAATATTTGTGTAACATCT